GTCACCGGCGTTGACTTTTTTTTTTGTTCCGGATTTTTTCGCCGGTTTCTGGCGTTGACTTTTTTTTCCCTGATTTTTTCGCCGGTTCCCGACGTTGACTTTTTCGAATTTTTTTTGCTGTAACATCTTTTTTTCGTTTAAACAACAATATTGTTGTTATTGATAGTAATATTAACTATATTACGGTTAAACACAGTAAAATTCAATGTTATCAGAACCGAACCGGACACAAAACCAGATAGGCATTCGGGTCACGGTTGAACCGGTTCAACCGGGTTCGACCCGGGTTTTTAATTTTAAAATATTTTATCAATTTTAATATTTTAAATTTATATTTTCTATATATGTTTATTTTTTCCACATTATTGTCCCCTTTATTATTAACTTTTTAAATATATAAACTATTCCCTTTATTATTTACCACACCCAATTTTTTATTATATATTTTTTTCTTTTCTATCCTCTCTCTCTTCTCTCTTTATCACCTACCCACGTAACTCCCGTCTCTCTCCTTTTTTTTTTCTCTTTTTTTTTTTTTCTTTTTTTTTTTGTTATTCTCTTCTTTTATAACTCCATGTCCAGCAACACGATATGTTCTAGTCACCCACGGCCCAAACTTGTCGGATTGCGCCATCCACGGCCAGATCTATTCAATTCCGGCCACCCACGGCCTACTCCACCCATATCCGGCAACCTCCGGTGAATTTCGCGCAGATCCGGCCGCTAATAGTCACTGGCGAAGTGTTTTAGATAAAAACCCGGGTCATTGACCGGTTTCCGGGTTCGCCGGGTTTGCCGGTCGAACCGGGTTTTTTGACATTTGACCCGGGTTCTTGAATATCCCGGTTTTCGTTGTTAGACCGGACCACTTTTGTGGCGGGTCGCGGTTGGACCGGCCCGACCGGCCGGTCCGGTCCGGTTCTTCTAACATTGGTAAAATTAACTATACTACAGTTTAACATAGTAATATTGTTATATTAATCTCTAGCACAGTAATATTAACACAACAAAACTCATTATTATTGTGTAATAGAGTAATATTACTATGTTGACCGTTCAACAAATGTAAACATAATAAAAACCCAAAAGAATTAATATTACTCTGAGTCATGACAGTAATATTACTATAACAACAGTAATATTACCGTCAACCGCAGTAATATTACAATAATAGACAGTAATATTATCACGTTACTCCGTGAATAACTCAAACAAACAAAAAAACTCAAACGAAATAATATTATTGATGTGGTTGACAGCAATATCAGTAATATTACCGTCAACCACAGTAATATTATTGTGTTTACAGTAATATTACAATAATCGACAGTAATATTATTACGTTACTCCGTGAATATTCAAACAAAACAAAAAACCCAAAAAAATAATAATATTGATGTGGTTGACAGTAATATTATTGGATTTAAAGTTATTTTACTGTTAACGACAGTAATATAATTACGTTGACTTGTCAACAAATCAAACAAAATTAAAAATAATAATAATAATAATAATAATATTACGTTAATTTACTGTCAACGGCAGAACAATTACATAAATGTATTGTCAACGGCAGTATAATTACGTTAAGGTACTGTTATTGACAGTGTAATTACGTTAATTTATTGTCAGTGACAGCACAATTACGGTCAACGTTTAGCGGCGGAAAAAATAATAAAATAAAAAACAAAAAAACACTAAAAAAAATCAACGCCGGAATCCGGCGGCGGAAAAAACATACCAGAAAAAAATCGAAAAGTCAACGCCGGAGACCGGCGTTGACAGCCGGAATCCGGCGGAATTTTTTTTTTTTTGAAAAATAAAAGTCAAAATTGGATTTTTGTGGTCAAATTTTGATTTTTGTGGACGAAATTGATTAAATTGGGGTTACAATTAAGAA